ATTTCTCAAGAAGGGTCTAGGCCCGAAACGTCAGCTTTCCTGCTCCTCTGATGCTGCTTGGCCGGCTGTGTTCATCCAGCTCTACACCTTGTTATCTCTATTCAGTATAGTTACGTCCTAATTAGAGATGGTTTTGTTTTGTGCAGGTTACATTCATACTTGCGTAAGAAATAATCGTTTTAAAAAATCAGTTAAAAATGTGAATGCCAGTTTATGCTAAATTTGTTTTTCTTATCCGGGAAAATAATAAGTGGTGAGGTGAGGAGTGAAAATCAGAGGTTGGGAAGTAACACATCTGGCAGAGCATATTCTGAGTTGGTAACAGCAGAATTCACACAAAAGTGGTGTTTGGAATCGGGTTGCTTTTAGCCTATGATTATCTCATTTTCCAACCTGATTACGGATAGCTTTCTGAGGAAGACGAGATAGCTGGCTGCATGTATCACACACTCACGCATCCAAGCAGCCAGGCAGTTCCTCACTCACTCACTCTCTTACTCACCCACCCAGCCATTCACTTATACAACCGGCCGCTCATTCACCCACCTGGCCATTCATACAAACACTCACTCACTTACTCATTCACTCATTCACCCACTCACTCACTCACTCACACACAGCCAACCAGCTATCCCTGGCAGTGCTATTGCTGCAAGTGCTTCTCCCTATCACCTCCCTGTCTCTTGCCCACTGGTCATTACTGGTGCTGTAAAATCTGCCTTCCCCTGCCAGTGGTCTCCTTTTTGAATAAAAGAAACATCCTCCACATGCTGTTGGTGGAAGGCTGCTCCGTCTGATGGAGGGTTCTTCTGCCATCAGCAAAATGCCAAAGGCCTGGGAAAATGACAAGTTAATTGAGCATTAGAATGTTTTACTTGACTTCCTTATGGCAGGAAGCATATCTGAAGCTGGTCTCACCTTTGGTAAAATTCACCACAGATCCTCAGACAGCACCTTTCAATCCACGACCACTTCCATCGAGAAGGACAAGGGCAGCACATACATGGGAACACCACCACCCTCAAGTTACTCTCCAAGCCACTCACCATCCTGACTTGGAAATATATTGCCATTGCTTCACTGTCACTGGGTCAATATCCTGGAATTCCATCCCTAATGGCATTGTGGGTCAACCCACAGCAGAAGGAATGCAGCAATTCAAGAAGGCAGCTCACCACCACCTTCTCAAGGGCAACTAGGGATGGGGAATAAATGCTGGCCCAGCCAGCGACACCCACATCCCACAAAACGAATAAATAAAAAAGAAATTCCCTCATGTGGGCCAGCAAAAGTTCTCCTCATTGCTCACTGCTTGGGAAGACGGATAAACAAATACTGCTCAAGCACCTGCTAGTGTTGCTTTGCTAAGGCACAGGCACGCCTCTCTTTCTCACCTTTCCCTCCCATGGTGGCTTGAAACTCAAATCACACATCTCTCATTCTTTACAACCTCCTTGGTGACACCGCCATCTCCAGCATGCCAGCCTGGCTATCATTCTAACCACCCACCCTCCTGACATGGTGGCCCAGCTTTCATTTCCCTCCTCCCAAGCCAATGTCTCCCAGCCACTGTGCTGAAAGCCCACCAGCACAGCTCCAGGTCTCAGGCTGAGTAAAATTGTATTGCTCATCCACTTATAGACTCTCTTCTCTCTCATTTGCTGCTGATAGGTTTACCAATAAGCCTCCAGGGTAAGCCACAGAGGAGACCTTGGCAGGCTCCATTGTGACCTGCAGACAAGTCTGTTCAGATGATAGGATTCACAGATTTGGAAGGTGCTGTCAAAGAAGCCTCAATGTGCCATGCATTTGTGGGGTGGTACACTACTGCCATAGTGTATCAAGGATGGAGGAAATTGAATGTTAAAGATGGTGGGTGGGGTGCCAATCAAGGGAGCTGCTTTGTCTTGAATAATCTCAAGTCTTTGAGTGTCATTGGAGCTGAATCCATCTCGGCAAATGGGGAGGTTTCCTTGCCGAAGTTTGCCGAGGCTTCATGTGGTCCAGAACCAATTCTGTCCCAGCTGTATACCATTGTGCCAGCACCCCAAGTAGGTTTGTACGACTGGTGGGACAGGACATTTAAAGGGATGGTGATGGTAATGTCTGGGACAAAGTCTGTAAAGCATAATTCCATGAGTTGGACTGTGTGAGGCTGTTGCTTGATTAGTCTGTGAGACAGTTTGTGACACTGCTGCCACAATAGCCAGAAGGGGACAGTTTATTCTCCAAAATGGAGACAAAGTGGTCAAGGAAAGGAAGGGAAGTGTCGTAAATGGATAACATGAAAGTTATAGAGGGATGGAAATTGGAGGCAAAATGAACAAAGTTTTCAAGGTCTGGCAGGAGCATGAAAAGGCACTGAAGCTGTTGTCGATGTACCAAATAAAACAGTTGTGGGAGGGTTGTTCCACATACCCAAAAAGAGGCATACATGACTGGGACCCATGCGGTTGCTCATAGCCACTCCTTTGACTGGCAAAAATGAGCTTGTTACACTCTCTGTTATCATGTCTGCTCTCCCCTATCCCCACCCCAGTGGGACTGTTTGTCTTTCCAGTCTGGCAGGTAGACACACCATTATCCCATATCATTAGACTGTGACCCTGTGAATGGTCTACTGCTGCTCCTTTTTCTATGTTTCTGAGATTTCTCCTCTCAACCTTCCCTTCTCCAAGGAGAACAATACTTTCTTCTCCAATCTATCCATGTAACTTAAGTTCCTCATTCCCCTTGCCACTCTCTTGAATATATCTTGACCCTCTTCTTCATAAGTATAACAAAATAGTGTTTTTATCCCTAAATGATTAATAAAATTGTTTAATTTTATGCTGAGAATACATTCATGTTCTGACATATTTCTGAATTCGATTTAAGCTTTCTTTTCCCTCGTACAGTTTTTCCTTTACTTCTTGGTTCTACTTTTAGGCATAATAGTCAGAAATTGAGGTATGTTTTGTAAAATTTATGGGATGTTTTAGCTGTTGCAACACCATGATGAAGTAAATGTGGAAACTAAATCCTGCAAGAATAGTTGGGGAATATGAATGATATTTTCAGCAATAATTTAGTAATTATCTGTTAATTCTTTTATCCTTAAATTTCCAATTTCAAAGAGCAACTTTCATCTAAGAGCTTGTCAAATTTGCTCTTAAAGTGGCCAATAAAAAGTATGTATGAGCAGCTTGAGCAGTCCAATTTGCCCTCATCTTATGAAAGCCTGTGCATTCCACTGAGCATCTCAGTAATTGTGCAGCCAAAATTGTGCACAAATGAGCAAACTTGCATCCTTCTGGACTATAGCTTATTATATTGGAAACGAGTCTTCTGAGCCACCATCCCTTGAATCTACGGAAGGCAGTGTGCAATGAAAAGCAAGGGGTCAACACAAGTTACACAGAGTACAGCAGGCTTTAGGGATCATCAAGAGGCAATAATATTACCACAGTGGTTGACATGGCATTAATAATCATGCATTTGCTGAAATCATGAGATTGTCAGAAATCACCTTAATCTTCCATTATCTATATAGTTGCTGGCTGCTTTTCCACCAGTGGTGCAATGTGATAAGAGAGGTAGGTAATCCACAAATACATTATGACATTCTCACTGAGGAATTGTGGTGTAATCACAGGTTTATAACTACACATATACACATATAACTACAACTGACAATTATATATCACCTCTAACATAGAAAAGCATGCCAAACCTTTTAAATTTGTAAAGAAACTGGACAACAATCTACAAAGGTGGCTTTTATGAATTGTCTTAATGAGGTGAGGAGGGCGGAGAGGCAGTGGGATTAAGGAAGGGAATTCCACAGTATGGAGTCTAAACAGCTGAAATCACAGCCACCAACAGCAGGACGAAGGAAAAGCCGGTTTCAGAGGATTGGGAATACAGGGTGGAGGCCTTTTTGCTGACAATCAGCTCTCTGCCAACATCTGAAAAGATTAAAATAGGTTTAAAGTCCCAAGGTAATCCACTGCACCTGGGAACTTTCCAAATTGATGAAAAGCAAGGTTAAGCCATGAAAAGTAATATCCTTGAAGTGGCCTTGCATCACTTGTTGAAATTTGATGGGGATGATTTTGTATCTGAATTATACAGTTGAATGGCAATGATGCAAAGCACAAAAACAATATGCCATAGCTAGCCTATTAGACGCTAAACCAAATGTGACCATTACCAAAATAATCAATCCACATTCATGGGTAAATTCTCACATTGCAATGATAGATGAACTACAGCCAAACAAAGAACCAAACAAAAATGTAACTGTATTGTTCATTGTTCAACTTAATATTTATCTACTTTTGCATTTACTTTTAAATGTTTTGTTTTATTATTTTGTTTGTAGAATCTGATTATCTCCAAACTAAACCATTAACAGAAAAATAATGTTAACCCTTCAGCTGTGACTATTCTCCTTGTATGCTTGAATATTTAACCAGCGGCTGTCTCTTGTATTGAGCCATCAGTAGCATTTTAGCAGGACTCCCAAGGCTGGGAGACCTTGTATTATCCCCAGCGACATATCAAAGACAAGAGGAGGTGAAAGGCCAAGATGCCAGTTTAATTATGTCTTGACGATAGTATTGCAGCCCCTCCCCGCCCCCTCCCAAAACCCAAAGGTATTCAATTTTTTTTCCCAATTCTTATCTGACACGTTGCCAGTGATTTACGGCTGTTCGGCTTGAATAAAGAGCCTAGCATGTGTTTAACGTCCTGGTGGAACTGTGACCTCTATAAAAGATGTTGCAGGACCATTGACTCTCTGTCTGCCAACAGCGCTGCATCCATCCTCAACTATGGAAGATATTTACAAAGCAGCGGTGAGTACAGTCGCTGAAGGAAGACAGAAGTTTCGCAGTTTATATCTGAGTTTTTCACTTTTTCTTTGTTCTGAAACATGCAAATTAATTGCAGCGACCTTCTAGAGAAAATGTGCACGTGTACTGAATGGCTTTCGACGTATCTTAAGCCAGAATTTAGATTTCTTTGTCGATCTGACGTAAGGTACAAAGATGTAGTATACGAATATTCATACAGCAGAATCATTGAATAAAATTTTAAGTTATAATTTTACCAAGCTATCTCAATTTGTAACAACTCTTTAAAAAAAAATCGGTAGTATTCCTTCATTCAAATTAAAGCTGTTTATGGACAGTTATTTAAAAGTAATTGTCGATTTTTGTGAACAGTTAAGCAGGTAAGCAGACGTCTAAGCAGAAAATTGATTTTCTACAAATCATGTTGAAAGAGCGTGACCAGTTAACTCGCTTGGTTTTTGTTGAATTGAATGCAAGTCCAGTCTTTCAAATTAGCATATGAAAAAATAAAGTTAGTCTTCATTAGTCGATAATTGATAAGGAGTTGAAGCGTTACTTGTGCTTAAAGTAACATTTCCATTTGTAAGTGAGCTTTAAAGACTCTTAATGATTCCCAATTCTGAATTATTTTTGTAGCCTTTTTATTGTCTCAAGTTATAGACATCTCCCAATGGACATTAAACAACCCACATGTGATTTTACCATCGGTCCGAGAATTCCATTTCTTTTATATTCAAACCTGTTGTCCTGACTTATTTTTAGTTCATATAGCTTATTTTGTTAAAGCTGACATGTTAAGTTACGGCTCGGGTTTTATGAACCAAAACAAATTCCAAAGTTAGTCCAAACCATAAAAGTGTATTGCGTACAAATTACTATGTATAAATTTGAAGTATAATTAAGGGACGCCTGCATTATTTCAGGTCCTTTTAACAGAGGCTTTGCCTGTAATTTTTACATGCCGTCTTCAAAGAATGTGATCAAGTGTTGCTCCTGCTTGTTAAAGCTAATTTTGGCAGTGAGGAGCCAGCTATCTTGGCGATAAGCTTCCACCATAAGCTACCCAAATGCTCAGATAAAAATTTCAAGGATGTGTGTCTACGTCAATCAAAACGGACACAAAAGCAAACCATGCGCGGTATTTGTCTTAGCTCTCCTCCACAGTTGTCTTGTCGTTTATCTTGTTAAAAATAACAAGGAGTCGTGTTACCAAGGCCACATTGAATAGCCCTATAAAAGAGCTTGCTTTTATTGGGCACCTATTCATGTCCAAACCATCCTGGTCCAGATGAGATGCCAGAACAATGACAGCAGCTGACTCCTTTTCATGACAGTTCTTTCAGTAAGATCCTTTAGAAAACGTCTGAGCGTTAGGGAGAAATCTGAATGTAATTAGTTTGATGGTAGGACCTATTTATTTAATAGGTATAACCAAACTCCCACTTTGGCAATTGGATATAAAGAATCATAGAATCTCTACAGTGCAGAAAGAGGCCATTTGGCCTATCAAGTCTACACCAACCCATTGAAGTGTATCTGACCTAGACCCACCTCCCCAACCCTTCCCCATATCCCTGCATGGGGATTTTTACCATGGCTAATACACCTAGCCTGCACATCCCTGGACACTATGGGGCAATTTAGCATGGCCAATCAACCTAACCTGCACATCTTTGGACTGTGGGAGGAAACCAGAGCTCCTGATGGAAACCCATGCAGACTCAGGGAGAACATGCAAAATCCACATAGACAGCCATCCAAGGCTGAAATCGATATAGTTGCTCAATGCTCACTGCATGCTTAAGATTTCACAAGTTGCTAACTGAAGGTAGAAGAAAAACTTAGGCTTCTTGAATCCTAATAGAACTCTTCTGCAATGTGCCAATTAATTTATTGCCTTATTCTTAACTAGTGCTCACTATACCACCACCTAAGAGTAAATGTTCACTATCTGTAATATTTGCATTCAAAAGTAGGATCAATAATGAGCTCTTAGAATAGGTAGGCAAAGCTAAAGTAGGACTTTGATTCTTTGATGGCTCAAGACCTGTTGTAATATTTGATATAAGAGTAAGTTTCTGCTCACATCAAATAATTCAGAAGCTATGTAACAGTTAGGAATTTATGATAATAACCACAGTGTACATTTATTGCTTATTTAACACAAAGCTTAAAGAGAAGATGGAAACAAAATCAAGAAACAGGACTAGAAAATGACTAATTGAAAGTACGGAAAAAATATTAAGAAAAGCAATGGCAATTGATGAGAAAAACTGAAGAGGATCACTGAGGCAGAATGTTGGACAAAGAAGCCAAAAGAAAGAACTGGAGATCCCAATCATTTGTAACAAAATTAGAAAAACTCAACATGTTTGGCAGCATCTGTGCAGGGAAAGCAGAGTTAATGTTTTAGATCCAGTGACCCTTCTTCAGAACAAATTGTAATACAGGTTAGGAAACTATTGTCAACACATGCTTGAATCTTTTGAGCAAATGCAAGTGATTGAGCAAGTAAAACAATTGATTCTATCCAGCCCACATTCTAATAATTTTTGGTGTTCAGTGCTGTACCCATTACTGTCACTTCTTCGAACATGTCTGAACTCAAACAGAATATGAAGTAAACTCAGTGTCCATCCCCGCCTCTTCGACCTGTTTGTTTCCTCTCCACCTATCCTCTCCTCTATCCATCTTCTATCCGCCTCCCACTCTCTCCCTATTTATTTCAGAACCCCCTTCCCCTCCCCCTTTTCTGATGAAAGGTCTAGGCCCGAAACGTCAGCCTCTCTGCTCCTATGATGCTGCTTGGCCTGCACTTTGTTGTCTCGGATTCTCCAGCATCTGCAGTTCCTACTATCTCTGAACTATTCTCAATGTTATTTTAACAAATCCTCCATACTTGAATGTGTCTGTCCCATTAAATTAAAACATCCAATGAACAAGTTAAAGATAATATCAAATTGAAAAAAGAAATCATATAATTCCACAGAATAAATGTCAGGTCAGAAATTTAAACAGAATAGGAAGAACCGCAAAGAATGACGAAAAGATAAATATGGAGGGAGAAACTAGAATATGAAAGAAGGCTAACTAGAAATATGAAGACAGACAGCAAGAGTTTCTAGTTTTTTTTTAAAGTAAGGAATATTTAAGTAAAGTAAGCGTTAGTCCTCAAGGGTGTGGATATTGGGGGAATTGATAATGGTAACAAGAAAATGGCAAATGAATTGAAGTGATATTTGATTTCTGTGCAGAGAATAAATACTATTAACAGCCCAGAAATAATTGTGAATCAGGAAATGTGAGAGCAGGTGGCAATTAAAATAATTCCAAACACCAGGAAAGGACAATGAGAGAATTGTTGGAATTAAACTAAAAGTCCCCAGTCCTGATGGACTTCATTCTGCTCTGAAACAAAGTTGCTGCTGAGACAGTAAATGCATTGGTTTCAATTTTCCAAAATTCTTGAGATTCTGTGAAGGTTCTATCAGATTGGAAAATAGTGAATGTGACTCCTCTATTCAAAAAAGAATGAAAACAGAAAACAGGAAACTACAGGCTTGTTAGCTTAATATCTGTCATAGGTGAAATACTGGAATGTGTTATTAAACAGGTACAGTATGGCATGAGAAAATCTCAATGTGATCAGGCAGAGTCAACATAGTTTTGTGAAAGGGAGTCATAGAAACATAGAAAAATAGCAGGAGTAGGCCATTCAGCCCTTCAAACCTGCACCATCATTCAGTATGATCATATCTGATCATGATATCTCAGTATCCCATTCCGTCCCTCTTCCCATACCCCTTGATTCTTTTAGCTGGGAGGGCAATGTCCAGCTCCCTCTGAGTGAAGAAATTCTTCCTCACCTCAATCCTGAATGGCTTACTCCTTATTCTTAGACTGTGATCCCTAGTTCTGGACTTCCCCAACACTGGGAACATTCTTCCCACATCTAGCCTGTCCAGTCCCATCAGAAATTTATACATTTCTATGCAATCCCTCCCCCTCCACCTCCATTCTTCTAAATTCCAGTGAATACAAACCCAGTCAATCCATTCTTTCCTCAAATGTCAATCCTGCCATCCTGGGAATCAGTCTGGTGAAACTCCGCTGGATTCCCTCAATATCAAGAATGTCCTTCCTCAGACTAGGAGACCAAAATTGCACACAATACGCAAGGTGTGGCCTCACCAAGGCCCTGTATAACTGCAGCAAGACAACCTTACTCTGATACTCAAAAGCTCTCACTATGAAGGCCAGCATGTCATTAGCTTTCCTCACCGCCTGCTGCACCTGCATGCCAACCTTCAGCAACTGTCCTACCATGGCACCTAGGTCTTGTTGCACTTCACCTTTTCGTAAACTGCCGCCATTCAGATAATAGTCTGCCTCCTTGTTTTGCCACCAAAGTGGATAACCACACATTTACCCACATTATCTTGCATTTGCCAAGTATTTTCCCACTCAGCCAGTCTGTCCAAGTCAGCCTGCAGCCTCTTAGCATCCTCCTCACAGCACACACTGCCACCCAGCTTAGTGTCATCTGCAAAGTTGGAGATATTGCATTCAATTCCTTCATCCAAATCATTAATGTATACAGTGAACAGCTGAAGACCCAGCACTGAACCCTGTGGTACCCCACCTGTCACTGCCTGCCACTCTGAAAAGACCTGTTTATTGCAAGTGTCTGCTTCTTGTCTGCCAACCAGTTCTCTATTCATGTCAATACATTGCCTCCGATACCATGAGCTTTAATTTTCCTCACTAATCTCTTGTGTATAACCTTGTCAAAAGTCTTTTTGAAATTCCAGATACACAACATCTACTCATTCACCATTGTCTATTCTACTAGTCACATCCTCAAAAAATTCCAGAAGATTTGTCAAGCATGATTTCCCTTCAGTGAATCCACGCTGACTAGGACCAATTCTATCATCACTTTCCAAATGCTCAGTTATTACATCCTTAGTAAATTGACTCCAGCAGGACACCACTGGCAAGGC